GATATTATGATAAAACTGCTTTAAGATTATATGTCATTCACTGTGTATGTTCAATGTAAAACTTTCATTTTTTCTTATTATGAAGGTAATATACACAACAGATAATGTAAATAATGAACACCTCCCCCAAATAAAGATTACTATTTTATTATACTAGCCTAGCTATTCTTAATATCCTGGTGCATATTATTTTAATCTTGTTTTCCTTAACATAAGTATGTTTGGCATAGTATAGCATATACTTTCTTATGTTGATCAATGTTCACTTCACCAAGTTGTTAAATAGCTTTATTCTTTAATAAAATCATATCTTAGTGACTAGAAATTTGAACCAAAAGAGGAAAAGGTATTGCTTTGTGAAAGCAAATGCTAGAGCTATAGAAACTACTTCCCTTGATTAAACAAAAAAAGCAGAATTATCTGAGAGCCACAAAATACCCATTTTATTTGTTTCTTACTTGGAATAGACACATAGAGTAGAATAACCAAATTTCCCTTATCAGGCAACATGTAAACAGTGGTTGTCTAGAGAAGTGAGGCTGTGAGGATCTCAAATGTTTTGGCATTGCCTTCCTTACCCAAAAAGGAATAAAGTATGTGCAAGAACTTATGATGCTGGGAATAAATCCAAAACCTAAAAATAAAACTGAATTTATAAAGCTCTCTTTTGAAATTCCACAACAATAAATTCAGTACTTACTGGACTATTGAGAATCATCAGGCACTGGTCAAAATGATGGTGCTCCATGATTGAATGGCAGTAGAGCTGAGCAAGTGGATGTTCACTTCTGAAAATATTTTGTTGAAGAAAGAGAAAAAGATCAATTTCCTTAATACGCAAGTTTATCAGTACATTTTTATTACTGGCTAACTAAAAAAGAGGCTACTTCACAAAGTTAATCAATTAACAATTTTCTCTCCTTTTGTGAAAAGGGTTAGGTAATCTCTGGGAAAGAAATACAAAGAGTCGAATTGTTTTCAAATATCAATGTAACCGTTGCTAGTGCAAAGTATGAATAATTTCATTGGTTTTCATAATAATGAAAATAGAAGTAAGGAATAAGGACAAAAAAATTATATCTCTAGACATGGAAAACAAAACCCTGTGAAATAGTTGTACCAACAATATTTTTAATTTCAAAACTGCAATTGATATAAAACCTGAAACAAATTCCCGTTAGTTTTTTTCTCTGAAATAATGCTCAGGCTGAAGGTGAGCTTATTAATATGTGTCTGCAGATAAGAAAATGACTTACTGAGATGGAATTAACTGAGGTATGAATGATGAAAGGCAAGGAAAAGAGGGATAGTCAGTCCACATGCCCCCTGGGAAGGAAGAAAGGAGACAGCTGAGTCAGCAAGTTCCCCATGTGGGATCCAGGTCATTTTAGTGCAGGATATCCTGCTAGTTCTCCTAACTGAACTTGGTGAAGCAGTAGAAACCCTTTGGCTGAGTGAAGAGAGAGGAAAGGATATTATACTCAGTTCATTATATCTGAGACAGTCACAAATAAAGCTCTAAAGCATGACAAGCACAATCCTCCACCTCATGTTTCTCATGACCCTTCACATGTGATTATTAAGCACAGTTTTCACTATTTCTTCTTCATAAGAATAATATGAAGTTTTGGAAGGCTCTGATCCTAAAATTTATAGGAAAGGGGTTTGTGAATTGTAAAGGTCCATATAAAAGTGTCGAATAAAACAATTGTGTTATTTCTTCCTATTACTATCTGAATCATTATTTTACTTTGCTTGTAATTTGTTGAATATAGAGAAGCTACCTGAGACTGAAAAAATGTAATGTAGGGGGAAAAATAGGCAAAGTGAAAGAAGCCTGAGGGAAAATGAAAATAGCAAAGTGAAAATAAAGGTAAGAGCACAGGTAATCTCATCTATTACTGTTTAAAGTGTCGTCTACACTGCTGATTGATCAATGTTATTGTTGTCCTAGCCTTTCCCAAATTAATTCTTGGCCTTCTTGTCTTCTTGGCTCCTTCCATATTTAGTGAGTTGGAGTATGGATCAGGTACTGTGCTGAAATAATGCTTGACATTGATTGAATGGCAGTGAACAGAGAAACATAAGTTCATCCTAAGAAAGGATGAACTTAATGGAAACAGGATTGCTTATGTATCGAGACCACTGGGAGTTAGTTAGAAGACTACTGGGAAACTTCTAGTAACCTAAGTAAGAGAGAGCCCAGATTAGAGTGGTAGCAACCCAAAGGAAGAGAAGCAGATATCTGAGAGCTGGTTAAGAATAGATCAGATAGGAACTGGTAACTAATCTGACTAGGAGTGGGATGAGGGAAGTGAACGGATGAGGGCGATAAAGGGAAAAAGTATGAATGTTAAAGTTTCTGCCTTGGGATGCTGACCTCATTTACTGAGTTAGGAAAAGGGAGAAGATGATTAAAGACGGGGATGAAGCAGGGAAAGCTGACTAGCTGGATTTTGGATCTGTTCATTTTAAGATGCCTTAAATAGACACAAGTGGATATAAATGTCTGAACTCAGTTCTGGACGAGAGATATAGATTTGGAATGCACCAACATGCAGATGGTAATCCCGCATATGAGTAGATAAGATCACCCAGGGAGATGGCCTGTAATGACAGCCTATACCATGTCAGGTACTATGCTATATAGTTTATTATATTTAGTTTTTACAATAACCCTGTGCAGGGCATTTCCATTTACCACATCAAAACTCGCGTTCCCACCTCTTGCTCATCCACTGATGTAGTGTCCAGTGTCATGCACACTTTTAACAGACTTCATTCAGGTACCAATTAGAAGGTGTTTTGCCCCAGCCTACCTTCAATACCTCTCACTTCTGCCTTAGAGCTTTGTTACCCCACAGCTGGTGCCAGAGGAATTTTCTCTGCACTCACACTTCTTCAACCTGGAAGTGTGAAAGAGTGAAGGCCGGTGGACCACCTTCGACCAGTGGGGTACACAGACCTATGGACTGCTGCCTTTGTCTTACCAGTCAACAGTTCAGGGTCTTATCTCAGAAGACTCTTCAAAAGCACGTGGCAGGACTGAGCCCAGTATGGGTGGACATCTGGATAACTCATCCCTCTACTGGCTTTCCTTTTTTCCCTGCTTCACTCCCCGTCCCAAATTCCTGCTCCCTGGGGTCATATTCACAAATAAGCTATATGCACACTGATGATTGTCTCAGGTTGTGCCTCCTGGGTGACCTAGGCTGAGACCTCTCTAAAACTGCCATCTTTTTGCTTTTTAGACAAAGGTTTAGAGAAAAATAATGTGCTCAAAGTCGATATAAGTGGTAGAGATGCCATTCAGGTATATCCTCTTCACTGCAACACACTGTCTTAGGGTACCCAAGTACTTTAAAGGTACAGCGCATGCACTCACTGACCTAATTAGGGGCTGGACTAGGAAATGCAATTACGTGGATATGACACAAGCAAGTCAGAACTTCAAACACACATTACATTTTTAGATGACGCAGAAGGGACTCTTTCACATTAGAGAAAAATCTTGGCTTTTGAGATATACTAATGCAAACTATGTTTGCCTTTACTTACATTCTAAAAATACAGATTTATGAATCAATAGCAAAGTGACAAATGCCCTGAGTTTCCTGTATATAAAACCATTCATGGAAACCAATGTATTCTATATTTGTTGCATTTTCCTCTTTCAAACACAAGGCTATGTGGCTTCTTTATTTAAGGTTGCATCAGAAGGACCCATTTAAACCACTACTGCTACAGAATTTTGTTCTCACACTGCTGTCAGTGAGCACTAATGGACCAGCACACTCATTCTGCATTTTCCTCTGTTCTGTATAGTTGTTGGTCCATCTCTGACAGGAGTATTAGGATGCCCAATGGAGAAATCAGACCAGTGTTCTAGAAATAGAAAGCCTTCGAATTCTATAGAAAATGAAAGCCCCATGGGCCACCCCAATCTTTCTATGTCATTAATGCTAACAATGTTCTTGGTTCTGCTTCTCAGCCATATATATTACTCAGGGCTCAATATACTGGGCCCAGCAAACATTCTATGCTGCAGTCAGAGTACTTTCTTCCATCTTCCTCTTGGAAACTGTTTCATCTTTGTCTTGGCCTCTGGGCTTTGGTTCATGTTGTTCCTGTTAACCTGAAATACTTTCTCACTTGTCTAAATCCTGCTCATCCTTTGGGGCCCAACTTAAGTGCCAGCTTCACAAAATTTCCTTCACTATAATTCATGTTGATTTCCCCATTCTTAGTATTTCTGACATATCAATTTTGAAACTTCACATTTAACTTGTCTCTAACGTCTTTCTATGTCATGTTTTCTTCATGGGAGGAGGGTTATTTTCTCAAGATCAAGGCAGTGAGTGAAGTATGTTTCTTCCATAATTTTTTGCCTTTCTTTGGCACCTATTATTTGCCTCTACATTCTGTAATGGCCTCCTATTAATGGGACTATGTATTAGACTCAAAAAACACTGAAATTTTCTTGATATTGTCTGGCATATTAGCTTGCTTTCTAGCAATTTTATGTCAACTTTCTCCCCTTTTAGAGTATTAAGTTTTGTTCATTTGTTTTCAGACAAGGTATTGGTCTGTCACCCAGGCTTGAGTGCAGTGGTGCAGTCAGAGCTCATGGCAGCCTTGAACCCCTGGGCTCAAGCAATTCTCCCACTCACTTTCTCTGTAGCTAGGACCATAGGCACACACCACCATGGCAGGTTTGCTTTTTATTAATGTTTATTTTTGTAGAAATGGAGTTTCACTATGTTTCTCAAGCTTTTCTCAAAATCCTGGCCTCGTGTGATCCTCCTGCTTCAGCATCTCGAACTGCTGGGATTACTGGCATGAGCCACTGAGCTTCACAAGTATTACATTTTCTTTAAAGAAGAGGCAGTATTTTTGCCATCTTTGCAATCTCCACAGCCCTTCAAACAGTATCTTCAACAGGGAAGAAATTAAATATTTATTCAACAATATTTTGTTATATTCTGCAAGTACTAACACAATCCTGGCAAAAAAAAATACTTGTTAAATTGTGTATTTTAGAACATAACAGTGTATGATACCAGTGAGATATAACACTACTGAGCTATACTGTCAGCAGGGATACTTTCTGAGAATTTTTGAAGTACTAGTAATGGATATGTGCCAATCCTTTCCCCCTTTATGGATTTTCCTTCTTTAATTTCAGTAAATGCTTTTTAATACCTGCTGTGTGTGTGTCAGATGTTGTCTAAGGAGCCATAAGAAACGGAGATGCAATTCCAACCAACTCATTAAAAGTACTGACTGAGGACATATAACAGAGCAATGAAGCTTTCAAACAGTAACACAGAGCCTGGGGTTCTGCATAATGATTTTGTATTTCGAAGGCGGAGCAGAACTGGTTGTGAACATACTAGTCAGATATAATTGAATACCTTTCAGCTACTTAGTTATACATGTACAAACAGACTTCAACCATACAAACTTAGTTTTGTTTATGTTTTAGAGTTTAATACAATATTTTATTTCATAACAAAGCATCCTTCTGCTTTTAAAAGTTTAAAAACAAATTCAATAGAGCAGAGCTTATCTAGTAGGCACAAATGACAAAGATGTTGAAACCTACAACTCTGAAATTTCATTAAGCTAATCATCAGCAATCAACCTGTTATTTGTTTTATAGGAAGGTGTTAGAGGGGCAGTCATTGAGGATGGAGATTGAAAGGTTAGGCAATACATGACATGTTTTCATCTCATAAAATTATAGGTTATGAAGCATAAGAAACCTGTGCTTGGAATTAAAACCTATGCTTGAAATTAAAAAGCTGTTAATTTAGAATAAATAAATGGATGCTAAGGTGATCATTGCTATGTATAAAATATTGACCAAAATTAGATTTACAAGTGTCACAAATGTAACCATGTTAGTAGCAGTTATCCTTGGAGATGGGATCACAGATAGTTTTATTCTTTGTGCTTTTCCACATTTTTCAAACTTTCTCAATGGAAATGCATTTTATTAACTAGAAGTTGGAAATTTTGTTGAAAAAAATAAATTAGAAAATAAGCAAGAGAGGCCAGGTGCGGTGGCTCACGCCTGTAATCCCAACACTTTGGGAGGCCGAGGTGGGTATGTCACCTGAGGTCAGGAGTTCGAGACCAGGCTGGCCAACATAGTGAAACCCCATCTACTAAAAATAGAAAAATTAGCTGGGTGTGGTGGTGGGCGACTGTAATACCAGCTACTAGGGAGGCTGAGGCTAGAGAATCACTTGAACCTAGGAGGTAGAGGTTGCAGTGTGTGGAGATCACGCCATTGTGCTAAAACCTAGATGACAAAAGCGATACTCCATCTCAAAAAAAATAAAAAGAGAGAAGCAAGAGATACTCTAGTCCAAAATCATTATTTAACAATTTCTGACGTGAGATCACAGGCAGTAGGCACGTAAGTATCAAGGGGCTTTAATGATATTTAATGGTGCTTTTTAAACGAAATTTCATGGAATGCTGTGATACCTCAGGGATTACTCAAGAACCAACATGGAACGGAAGAGATAGATGCAGGGAATGTGGCTTAAGGCCTCTACTGAAGAAGCCCAGCTTTCTTGTTCATATCTATAAATATACCTGTTGGAGAACAGATTGACTGTTTTTTTTGTTTGTTTTTTTTCCTGTTCTGGTGAAAGCTAGTGTCGAAAAGTCACCTTTGGGCTACCCATGTTCAAAATGGTGGAATAGCAACGCCAAGTTCCTGTCCCTCTCTTGCAACATTGAAAAGCAACCAAAAGCTGTCTGAAATAATTTTGTCGGAATGCTGGAAAACAGTCAAAAGTTTACAGCAACCAAGAAAATGCTGAATCAAAATATATGAAGCAGATATTGACAGAATTGAAGAGGGAATAGACAGTTCTACAAAAATTTTTGGAAACATGAATGCTTCACTTTTAATAATGGGTAGAACATTTAGACAGAAGACCAGTAAGAAAATAGAGGGCTTGAACAACACTGCACACCAGCTATACCTAATAGACACATGTGGAACTCCACCCAACAGCAGCAAAATACCCCGTCTTATCAAGTATACATGAAGCATCTCCAGATATATCATATATTAAGGCATGAAACAAATTTCAATAAAGTTTCAAAAATTGAAGTCAGAAAGGTCTCTGACAACAATGAAATGAAGTTAGAAGTTAATAACAGAAGGAAAACCGGAAAATTCACAAATATGTAGAAACTTAACTCACTCTTAAACAGTCGTTCAAAAAGGATATCACAAAAGAAATTAGAAAATACTTTAGAGACAAATGAAAAATAGATTGCAATGAAGACAATGTATAGCTATGAATGCCTACATTACAAAAGAAAGATCTCAAATCAGCCTAACTTTACACCATAAGGAAATGGAAAAAGGAGAGCAGAGTAAACTCAAAGCTATCAGAAGACAGGAAACAATAAAGATTAGAGAAGAGATAAATGAAATAGTAAATAGAAAACCCATAAAGGGAATCAGTGAAACCAAAAGTTGGTTATTTGAAAAGATCGACAAAATTGGCAAACCTTTAGCTACACGAAGAATAAAGTGAGAATACACAAATAACTAAATCATAAATGAAAATGTAGATATTACCACCAAACTTACAGAAATAAAAAGAATTATAAGGGGATACTACGATCAATTGTATGTCAACAAATTAGATAACTTAGATGAATAGAAAAGCTGAACAGACCCTATAACAAGTAAGGAGATTCAATCAGTAATCAAAACGTTCCAACAAAGAAAAGTCCAGGATTAGATCACTTCTCTGGTGAATTCTATCAAACATTTAAAAAAGAATTAATACTATTTTTTTCAAACTCTCCCAAAAAAATAGAACTGAGGAAACACTCTTTCTATGAAGCCAGCACATTGATACCAAGGCAGATAATGACACAAGAAAAGAAAATTACAGGTATTTGCACACCCATGTTTATAGCAGCACTATTCACAATAGCCAAGAGGTGGAAGCAACCCAAATGTCCATCAACAGGTGAATGGATAAAAAAATGTGTTATGTACATACAATGGAATATCACTCAGCCTTAAGAGAAAGGAAATCCTGTCAAATGCTACAACATGGATGAAACTTGAGGCCATTATGCTAAGTGAAACAAGCCAGTGACAGACAAATAGTGTATGATTCCACTTACATGAGGTATCTTAAGTAGTCAAATTCCAAGAAACAGGAACTCGAGTGGAGGTTACCAGGGGATGGGGGACAGAGGGAAAAGGCCAACTGTTTAATCTGCATAGAGTTATAGTTTTGCAGGATGAAAGTTTTGGAGATCTGTTTCACAACTTTGTGAATATGTTTGACACTACTAAACAGTACTTTTGAAAATGGTTAATATGATGTTTTGTTATATGCTTTTACCACTTTAAAAAATGCAGACCAGTATCACTTATGAATATAAATGCAAAAATTCTCAAAAAGGGCGAGGCGCCATGGCTCACGCCTATAATCCCAGCACTTTGGGAGGCAGAGACAAGTGGCTCATGAAGCCGGGAGTTCAAGACCAGCCTGGCCAAGATGGTAAAACCCCATCTCTACTAAAATCACAAAAACCAGGCATGGTGGCAGGTGTCTGGAATCCCAGCTACTAAGGAGGCTAAGGCAGAAGAGTCAACTGAACCCAGGTGTCGGAGGTTGCAGTGAGCCACTGCACTCTAGCCTGGGTGACAGAGTGAGACTTGGCTTAAAAAAAAAATCTCAAAAAGTACTAGCAAACCCAAACCAACAGCATTTTAAAGGATTGTATACTGTTACCGTGTGACGTTTATCCCAGGATGAAAGGGTAGCTCAACATAAGAAAGTCAATTAGTATAATATGCCACGTTAGTAAAACAAAGGGAAAACAGACAATCATTTCATTTCAATTGAGCAGAATAGGCATTTGGTGAAATCTAATACCCTTTACTAATAAAAACACTAAGAAAACCGGGAATAGAAGGGAACTTCCTCAACTTGATAAAGGGTACAGTGAAAAACCCACAGCTAACATCAAGCAACAACAACAAAATGGATAAATTGGACTTCATCAAAATTAAAAACTTTTGTGCATTAAAGATCATTATAAAGAAAGAAGACAATTTACAGAATGGGAGAAAATTTTTGTAAGTCATATATCTGATAAAGATTTAATATACAAAATATATAAAGAACTTCTACAACTCCACAACAAAAAGACAACCCAGTTAAAAAGGGACTGATAAAGGACTTGAACAGTCATTTCTCCAAAGAAGATACACAAATAGCCAACATGCAGTTGAAAATATGCTCTATACCATATTTCTCATTAGGGAAATGCAAATCAAAATCACAATGAGATACCACTTCACATCTACTAGGATGGTAATAATAGTATAATAATAATAATACAGAAAATAACAAGTGTTGGCAAGGATGTGGAAAAACTTAAATCCTTTAACATTGCTGATGGGAATGTAAAATGATGCAGCCATTAGGGAAAGCAATTTAAAGGCTCCTCAGAAAGTTAAAGAAGAACCATATGACCTCGCAATTCTGCTTCTAGGTATATAACCCAAATAATTTAAAACAAAGACTCAGATAGTTGTACACCAAGTACACACCAAGTATGCTGTTTCATCGCAGCACTATTAGCAATAGCCAAAAAGTGGAAACAACTCAACTGTCCGTAAATGGATGGATAAACACAATGTAGTTACACACATAACTAATTATTACTCAGCTATAAAAAGGAATGAAGTTCTGATAGGTGCTACAACATGGATGAGTCTTGAAATAATGCTAAGTGTTTTAAAATAATGTTTGAAAAAGTGCTAAATAAAATAAGCATTTCATTTAAGCCAGACACAAGTAAAAAGACAATCTATAGAATGGGAGAAAACGTGATTTTTCAGGGTCTTCAGAGATGGGGGAATTGGGTGTTATTGCTTAATGGGAAGGTTCTCTTTGTGGTTACAAAAATTTTTGGAAACGGTGTGATGATTACACAACATTGTGAATATAATTAATAGTCTCAATTGACATATAAGATAGTTAAAATGGCATATTGTATATTTTATGTATCTTTTATGTATCTTACCACAGTAAAAGAACACCCCCCCCACCTACCAAAAAAAAGAATATTAATACTTGACAGTCTTCACCTTCCCCACAACAAAAAGTCACACTGGTCTTCATTAGGGGACTAAATCAACCTTAAATGTTTAAAACAGATAATTCTTGTAATTTATTAAATTGGACTTTCTGGAAGCAATCAGGGTAGCAGTTCTTAAGTAAATAATTCTCTTTATGTATTTATATATAGAGAGAGAGGGAGAGACAGGGTCTCACTGTGTTGCCCAAGCTAGTCTCAAACTCTGGGCCTCAAGTGATTATTTCACCTGGCCTCCGGAAGCACTGGGATTTTAAGTGTGAGCCACCACACCTGGCCCTTGCCTTTATGTCTTAAGTGGGGCTCTTCAAAGTCTTAAAAGGTGAAGTTTTCAGGTGCTAAAAAAAATTAAAGAAAGTAGAAAAGCTTAGAAGACACTGGGTCTGTGAGGTGGAAGATATCGAAGCCCTTTTGGCCTCCATGTCCCAGCTGATAGCCCAAAAGGTAGTTATAGATGTGAAGGGAGGGGTTTCTGCTGCCAGCCAAACCCTAATATTCCAGGACCCATGGTAAGACTTTGAGGACACCATCTAGTCCAGTACTTTG